GGGGGGGGGGGTTGCTGCTCCTAGACTCTTTTCCAGTTTGGTGAGTGTGAGGGGCTCCTAGGACCCCAGTGCATGGCACAGCACCGAGCTGGGCTCCTGGGGTGGCTGATCCCTGAGACCCTCTGCTCCAGACCCAGAGTCCCCGTTGCAGCACTCCCATAGTGGAGGGGTGGAGAGGACACTCCCAGGGTGGACCCTGTGAGCCCCCTCAGCCCAGCTCTTGCCTGCTCCACTGACCCCACGTGCAGACCTGGCCCCTGAGCCCCTCCCTGCCAGCCCCGGTGTACATGGGGGTCACACTCACTTCTTTGAACTTGCCCTCCTGGTGGAGCTGGTGGATGTGAGTCAGCAGGGGCCTCCGGTCTGCGTCCTGCAGCTGGAAGATGCTGACCAGTGGCTCCACGAGACTAGGGGGGCTCCTGGCGAGGACCCTGACTGCACGGGCCTGTAGCTGTTGCAGCCTTGAGCTGTGCTGGGAGACCAGAGAGCCAGCCTCAGCCGGGGAGTGGGGGGCTGCAGCTGGAGCATGGTGCCGGGGTAGAAGTCCAGCACCTCAACCCTGTGCCTACGGTGGACAGTCCAGGCAGGCAAGGCCTGGGGGACAGAAGCACAGACGAGGGAGATGTGTGACTGTGGGGAAGCTGAGAGTCAAGCCCACAGACCCGGGAGCACAGTCAGTCCGAAGGCAGCGGCCCCTGCCCACCAGGGGTGAACGAGCTCAGCGGGCCAGGTCAGGCAGGCGTGGAGCCCACCAGGCCGAGAGCTATGAAGGGGGTGGAAGGGGCGAGGCTGGTGGGGCCGTGGGCAGGGCTCACCTGGGCCGACGCAGGGAGTGGCCGTGCCTGCAGCCAGCGGTGCAGCTCACAGACTACCCAGGCCTCCAGGGAGGGGCCCTTCCGCTGCCAGGCCTGGCTGCCTTCCAGCATGTCCAGGAGTCCGGTCAGTGGGTCATCCAGGGCAGCAAACCCCCGCCAGGCCTCTTCCCGGAGCTGCGGAGACACAGCACCTCACTGTCTCTTTGTTGAGCTCAAATCCGCCTGGTAAACCCTGCCCCGACCTGCACGGCCCAGCATGTGGTCTGCTCAGAGGGGGGACTGGGGCTGGTCAGCACTGTCCTCCCATCCTCGGGGTCCTGGTCTGACCCGCCACGCCCCTGGCCCTGGGTGGCAGCCACCGTCCACACCGACGGTCCCGTAAAGACAGAGGGCATGTTCCCCGAGTCAGGCCAAGGGTGGCGGGACCCATCTGAGAGGCTCCGTTCATTCGGCTTCGCCCCAACTACTCGTGCGGCACGCCGAGGACCTGGCACTGGTCCTTCAGACACAGTGACTCCTTGGCGGGGCCAGCAAGCAACAGGAAACAGAAGAAAGAAGAGAAAAAGCCAAACTGGAAAAGGTCTTTGATTCACTTTTCTACCTCTTGCACTGCCAAAGGCTTGGAAACACGTATGAGCTGAAAAGAGAAACACCAGGAACACGTGAGCTGTTCTCTCCCAAATGTGTCTTCAGGAGAACAGTGGTTCCTGATGGACTTTTAAGCAAGTGGGGTGTCGGGTGAGGGTCACACTGCACCCAGCCCTGGCTCTCCACTCTGCCTGACTCGGCCGTTCAGTCGTGAGACACCCTGCAGTCAAGAACTTGCTGCAACTACAGAGGCCTGTCTCGGGCCCCCCTCCAGGCAGAGCTGCAGGGTCAGGGTCTCGGCCGTGAGCTCAGGAAACAGACACCCGGACACCTGAGGCTACTCATAAGCAGCCTGGAGGTGAGGCCCCGGCTGTCCTGGCAGACCTGCACACAGAGAGCACCCTGAGGACAGCCTGAAATACTGCCACTCTCTGGGATGCGCGGGCCACACGCCCGTCTCAAGGAGCCTGGGGGCACCCGCAGGGGCCACTGTCCCCCACCCTCCAGGAACGTGTGAAAGAAGACAGCTGAGGCCGAACCACCGCCACTTTCTTGCTCATGGAAGGAAAGATCTAGAAGGATGCGGCCCTGGATCTTGGTCCTAATTTGTTCACGTGTGGTGCCCATTCAGGGCCCCCGAAGAACAGCTCCGAGAGGCTCCCAGAGCAAAGCAGGGAGGCCATGTGGCCGGGGCCTGGGCTTACAGTCGCCAGCCAGTCAGCTCTTCCGCTCGCAAGGTGAGCTCAGGTAAATGCCTCGTCTCCTTTCTCCTCTGGGCAGTCTCTACCTGCCTGGCCCCTTGCCACCAGCCGGACAGAGGGTGTGCGGCGGCCAGCCCTGGGACAGGGCAGGGGGCCGGAAGGAGGAACCAGGCGCAGGACCGACCTTCCAGCTCTGAGCTGGGTGCCTGCTGACCAGGCGCCACGAAAAGGAAGACTCTTCCAAGGGCACCACCACCCTTCCAGCCAGGTGTGGCTGCCCAGCCCCGGTAGGTTTCACAGACCCCTTCCCAGTAGGGTCGCTCCGTAGTCCACTGTTGGGGCCGGCTCCCTCCTTCGGGCTCACCCAGCTGCTCTTTGTGGTGGAACCTCGTGGTAGCCAGCCGAAGGGGAGTGAGCGGGCATGTCCTTCCACGATGGCCGCTGCCCATTGTTGGCACCCTGGGCCAAGGACTCTGCCCTCCGTGTCTGGGAGTTGGCTCTGTCCCTTCCCGTGAAAAGTGCCTGGGAGGGGCGCCTGGGTGGCTTGGTCAGTTAAGCGTCCGACTTCAGCTCAGGTCATGATCTCACGGTCCATGAGTTCGAGCCCTGCGTCGGGCTCTGTGCTGACAGCTCAGAGCCTGGAGCCTGTTTCAGATTCTGTGTCTCCCTCTCTCTCTGCCCCTCCCCTGTTCATGCTCTGTCTCTCTCTGTCTCAAAAATAAATAAACGTTTAAAAAATGTAAAC